TGAACTTTAAGGACCTCTCAGGATCCGAAAAATCTCTTGAAGAGTTTAATTTGTTTGTACAACCAGGTCCTGATTTACACTGGCTTGTTGAAGGCAGTTGGATTTGGAGATTAGGCAGAGATCTAGACAGGAAGGCACATAACTGGAACCAAGGTGTCAGTTTTAAACCTCTCTGTTTAGTACTATTCATTCTTTGGTCTAAGGCAATGCTATTTGGGGTGCCAGTAATGAACTATTTGCTGCTGTTCCCTGAAATTATATGTGTAGAAATTGGGAGTAAGCTTTTAAAAACTTGGGATAATTCTTGGAATACAAAAACCACTAAAAAATATTGGCTGGTGCTTGGCAAACAGAAGACTGTCAAAGACCCATGAAATGTGACCATCCTGTGCCCACTCTCACCACACCACTTATTCAACATAGTATTGGAGGTCCCAGCCACAGCAATCAGACAAGGAAAAGAAATAGAAAGCATCCAAATAGGTAAGAAAAAAGTCAAATTGTCACTATTTGCAGATGATATGATACTATATATGAAAAGCCCTAAAGACCACTAAAAAGCTCTAAAACTAATAAATTAATTCAGTAAAGGTGCAGGATACAAAACCAATATTCAGAAATCTGTTTTACATTTCTAAATAATAATGAACTAGTGAAGAAGAAATTAAGAAAACTATTTACAACTGCATCAGAAAGAATAAAATACCTAGGAATAAATTTTAACAGGTCTTTAAAAAGACCTATACTGAAAACTTTAGGACATTGATGAAAAAAACTGAAGATGACACAAGTAAATGGAAAGATATACCATGCCCATGAATTTGAAAAATTAATAGTGTTAAAATGTCCATATTATCCAAAGCAATCTATAGAATTAATGCAATCCCTATCAAAATACCAATAGAAGTTTTTACAGAGCTAGTACAAATAATCCTAAAATTTGTATGGAACCACAGAAGACCCTAAATAGCCAAAGCAATCTTGACAAAGAAGAACAAAGTTGGAGGAATCACATGCCCTGATTTCAAACTATATTACAAAGCTACAGTAATCAAAAGAGTATGATACTGACATGAAAATAGACACATAGATCAATGGAACAGAATAGAGAGCCCAGAAATAAATCCACACTTGTATGATTAATTAATCCATGACAAAGGAGACAAGAAAATACAAAGGGGAAAAGAGAGACTCTTTAATAAATAGTGTTGACAGCTACATGTAAAAGAATGAAACTGGACCACTATCTTGTACCACACATAAAAATAAACTCAAAATAGATAAAAGATCTAAATGTGAGACCTGAAACCATAAAACTAAAAGAAAACATAGGCAGTAAACTCTTAGACATTGGTCTTAGCAATTATGTTTCTGGTTATGTCTCCCTAGGCAAGGGAAACAAAAGCAAAACTAAACAAATGGGACTACATCAAACTAAAAAGGTTCCATCACCAGAAGGATACCATCACCAGAACAAAAAGGCAACCTATCAAATGGAAGAATATATTTGCAAATGACATATCTGACAAGGGTTTAATCCAAAACAGATAAAGGACTCATAAAAATTAACACCAAAAAAACAAATTACCCTATTTAAAATGGGAAGAGGACTTGAACAGACATTTTTCTAAAGGAGAAATACAGATGGCCCATAGACAGGAAAAGCTGTTCCATATCATGAATCATCAGGGAAATGCAAATCAAAATCACAGTGAAATACCACCTAATACCAGTCAGAATGGCTGTTACCAAACTGATAAGAAATAACAAGTGTTGGCGAGGATGGGGAGAAAGGGGAACCTCCTGCACTGTTGGTGGGAGTGTAAATTGGTGCAGCTACTGTGGAAAACAGTACAGAGGTTCCTCAAAAACCTAAGAATAGAAATATGTATGATCTAGCTATTTTATACGGAGGCCCTTGTCCATCTTGCCAGCAGATTTTGTAAATGCTAGGATGGTTTGTCTTGCATGTAGTACATTTGAAGCCTTATAACTTGAAATCCACGGAACTTTTTTACATTCTGTATGCATGCTAAGGAATTTCAGTGAGGAAAAGGATGTTTATTCATCACCAGATATTATGGCTCTGAGGCCCAAGAATCCTGTGAGTTGGGAAAACAGGACAAAACTACAGATTGAAGGAAGGGTTTTCATGCAGACACATAGATCCCCGAGGCTCTGATTTATTTGACATTTGTGAAGTAAAATGCAACAGGCTGTTGCTGGCTGATTGAAGCCTGTATCACACCATGTTTTATGATTCCAAATGAACAAAGTAAAGAAAAGTTCTCATGGGAAAACTGAACGGGTGTTTTGGGGCTACAGGACATTTATTTAGTTATATGGTGAAGGATATTTGTTTGATGGTGGAATCACCAAGTAGCCTAAGGTCATGGGTTGGCGTGCTTTAATAGTTCCTAAAAGAAAACTAGAGTACCTTTTCTTTCCCAAAACATCCTTTTGGACAATGTCCTTGACACCGAGAGCTTTGAGTAGTTCAGAGAACTGCTCTGGTCACTACTGCCAGAAGAGGTGTGGTCAGTGTGAGCAGAGGCCTGGACTGGCAGAGGCTGGTGGGGTATTTAGGCTAAAACTCTGCTCTATGGACAGAGTAATGATTTTCTGATGCTAACCATAATGACGTGCAAGTTGGCACTTTGGAAACTGTTAGTTCTCACTCCCGAGAAGGTGATGGCCCTGGAGGCACAGAATGACTTTGAAGCTTTTAACACGAAAATCTCTTGACACCCTTTGTTAACCTACTTAGCTTGGCCTTGCCAAGGAGAACTTCCAAGTTCAACCCAAATTTCTAAACTCCTTCCCAGCTGCTCTGGAGGTAAGTCTAACTGTACATGAGTCTGAAATAAAATCCACGAGAGCAAGGCTTGAACATGTGTGCATTCAAAATCTAGTAATAGAGGCTTCCATGTTAATTTTAAAAACTCAATTATCTGGCTTAAAAACTCTGCATGACTGTGACCTCGGGCATCTGTACAGCTCCTGGCACATGGCATGAACTCAAGAAATATTTGTGGAATAAATACTGGTAAATCATGTCTCATCTGGTCCTAATGAAATTCCAAAATGACAGTTTCATTGATAATTTTTTTTCTTCAGTTAATGTGAATCAGTTGTGCACTCTGTAAATCCAGCCACCTGCGGTATAGGCCTTGATGGGTGTGTACCTATTATCCATTGACTCATTCTAAAAATATTTAATATGTATCTGTAACATTCTGGGTACACCAAATTACCATTTAATTCAACTGTTATAAAATCCTGGTGAAAGGTGTGGAAACGAATATGGTTCCATGCTTTATTTGAATTTTACTCAACTAGGTCTTGTGTTTTTAAATGGTGCTAAAAAGTTACGGTTGGACATTCTAATACAGGGCTAATTTACCAACTGAATCAGCACTAAAGACTTAGCAATAGTGCAGGTGGGCTGTTTTGTATTAGTCTTTGGGGCTTGCTTCTAGACTGTGTGATTCCCAGGGCATCTCCACCGCGATGTCCTTTCCAGGTGTCTATATTTTAGTTCTGAAAGTACTCTAGAGCAGTACAGAGAAGACAGGGTGACTGGGTAATCGGGGCAATTTTAAGAGTGGATGGTACATTATTAATAATCATGCCCACATAACAGGTATAAATGGCCCTCTCTCAGGGAAGTGGGGTCCTATATCATCCCAGGAAAGGACACGTTTGAAGGATCAAGAGTCGTCTCACGCTGACTCCCTTATCATGTGCATGTCACTCCCTCTTTCTGGGTTTCGGTTAATTCAAATGAGAAGTAAAAGGGTGCTATTAAAACAAATCCTTTTGCTTTCTTAAAATTCCACCCTTCTATGATTACCAACAGAATCAAAGGAAAGAGTCTCATATTTTTGAAACAGTTTCAAAATAAGAGGCAGCTGGATAGAGAAGCACATAATTCCTCCTCCTCTTCCCCTTTGTAAAATGACATAATTACAAAAGCTTACATCACATTTTAGATAAATCAACACTTAAAAAATTTCATCTGCACTACGTGAGGCATTGTGTTGAGAAGGATTCTGAGGACACATCTGGGCTCAGCAGAAAAAGGATCTTCATCAATTAGTGATGCCTTCTGGGGTCATAGGAATGGTAGAGAGAAGGGGGGAGGGAGGGAGGGATTATAGGAAATGAGTGTGCCAGTCCTCTGCCTTTACTAGCCTACGGTCCCTGGGGCTATGATATAAAAGAAAAAAAATCTCATATTTAGGGTATATCTGCCCATACTGATATATATGATTGTGCTGGGCTCACCCACAGATTTTTCTCCTTGTTCTTAACGCCTTTTTCTAAGCACTCAAGTAGCAGAGTATAAGCAGTGGCCCTCAACCCTGGCTGCATGTTGGAATCATGTAGGATTTCTGGGGGTGAGGTCCAGATTCAGTGGTTTTACCATCACCTGCCCCCCCACAACTAGGGGATTCTACTCCACAGTCAGGATAAAGAACCACTGGGGAAGAGGCTAGAACAAGAGATGAGAGGCAGCACACCCAGATCTCAGTCCTTATTCTTTATTAGGACTGTTGGGCCTTGGATATGTCACTCATCTTACGGTAGTTTGTAAAATGTATTAAATTTGGACTCCAGTATTCTCTAGCTCTAACTTTCTGTGACTAACAGATGAGGTGAAGGGTATCATGTGTGCAAACTCAGACAAATGTAGATGTCCTGCTCTTTGTAAGTTCAAGGAAAGCGGACTTTGTTGTTAAAGAGAGAAACAGCATATGATCAGGAATCAAATAAACATAACTTGTTGATGCATGAACGATCATGATTTCTTAAAAAGAGGCAGCTAAGTTACATTACACTGTAGATAGAGTCCTTTCTCTAGGTTGTTCTCTCATATGATGTTTCTTTACACACTAGAACTTCATGATCATAATTTACTATTTCCAACGTATTTTTTAACTGCTCGCACCCCTGACTTGAACCTTTCAGCATTCCTGTTTAGTGATTTAACCTCTTACCTGAGTGACAGCAACATTTGTCCCATCGGTGACCTCTACACTCATATTATAGATGGACCTCTGCTCTGCGTCCAAAGGTTTTGCAATGACAATGGTCCCGACACCCTTCTCTGCATCAAAGGAGCTGTCAAAATTCCCCCCTGATGATTTCACAAAAACAACACAAAATTAGCATATCTGAGAAGTTACTACATATAGCTTTCAAGCCCTTATATAGAAATATATTTTTTTGACAGACATCCCTATGGCTTAATTTCATACATCTTAAATGGGACTTCTTATTTCCACCTTAATTCATATTTCAAAACACAGCTTCTGCAATGCATAACAAATGGCACAAAAAAGGAATGTACTGCAAAGAGAAACCTCAGCACTAATGTTAGAGTAGTGAAGCATAAACTGACTCCATAAAATATTTAGAGAGCTAAAAGCCCTTAAACTCCTTGTAGCTTCTGTGCTAGGAATTTCTAGGCTCTTTTTCTTTTTCAAAGTAGATTAAATTCTAAGTAAATAAAGTCTAAATATTATTAACAAAAATGAGTAGAGCCACAAATCTATTTCAGGATTGATGGTAAACATTTGGTTAGTAGAGTTCAGATTCCCTCAAGTAGATATCAATTCAATGTCAGAAATGAGATGATAAATACTAGAAAATAAGAAAAAGCAAAAATGTTTTAATTTCATATAAAAATTTTTTATCTGCAAGTTGGGATATTTGTAGAAATACTTTTTTGCCATCTTGACAGTGTGAATTATACATATTTAGGGTACATATGGGTGAATTATATTTCTCCCAAAAAAGTAGAAAGTCTATGGGTGATTTACAAAATGAAATCTGGAAAAAAGTAGAGGAAAACATTGGCTTTTGTAACTTACAAAACAATTAATATGGAAGTTTAGAAAATGTTATCCCACCCCCACCCCATACCAGATATAAAAAATAATATGTGAATAATGTGCCTAAACTAAGATAACATAGGCCTTGTTGATGTTGCTGTAGCTGTTTCCATCTTTGGGACTGTAAGTATAGTTTCTGATCTTTCCCAAAATGAAAAAAATTTTTTTAAGGGGAGGGAACCTAAATGCTGCAATGATTTTAATTAAATATCAGTATATATTCACAAGCTCTATTTATTTCAGCCTGAAATTTCATGATGTCAATTAATTTTGTTCTTGGACAGTAATTTAACATCAGCACATCAGGTAATGCCTTTATTGAGTTTCATATTTTAGAAAAGAAATCTCGGTTTCTTTTATATCCAACCCTCTTTGCATTTCATTTTGCTAATTAATGAGCAATATCATGCACAGTTTCTGTGATACTACAATTGCAAATGGGCAGGTGGGTTAAGGGAAAGGAGAATTTTACCTGAATTACTGGAGTTTGATGTACAGTGACACAAAATAAACAGATTGTTTTACTTAAAAAAAAAACCCTCATCATATATATTTCAAATACTTATTGCTTGCAGCTGTCATATACACTTAAGATTATTTAATTGCTAGAAAGAATGTTAATTGCCCTTGACATTTAATTAAAGTTATGAAGACAGGAGGTACCAGAGAATTGCTTGGAGATGATATATAAAGATTATTTAATTGCTAGAAAGAATGTTAATTGCCCTTGACATTTAATTAAAGTTATGAAGACAGGAGGTACCAGAGAATTGCTTGGAGATGATATATTTTTCAAAAATTTCATCTGAAAAGAGACTCATCTTCCAATTAATATCTTTGATTTACTGAGGTGGGGTAAATGTTATCTCCCAAAAAAAGTCTTTTGAAGAATAGGATAAGGAGAAAGGAGAGGAATCCAGGCTGAAAAGGGAAGTTACTCGGAGGCTACCGTGTCTCTTGCAAAGGGAATGCTTTAGGTTGAGAATGGCCTGAGCTAAAATGTAAGGCTGATGCAGGTGTCTTGAATAACCATCCTAATGAGCAAAGGAAAATCATTTGCTATCAAGTGGTACATGACTGAAAAAAATTTTGCCATGGAAACTTTCAAAGGAAGGACAGAAAAGACTAGCACACAATGTCTCAAGCTCTTTCTGGTGGGTATTATATCATATTTTAAATCACATTTGAAATCATTTTTAGAATGTTTTCCTGACTAGGATGTTTACTTTCTTAATTCTGAAGACCATGATTTTTTTTGTGTGTGTGGATGGGTGGGGGAAGAAGTCATCTTTCAATGTCAATGATTTTAGAAGGTGGAAATTTGGAGGTCAAGTCAAAACAGAAATGATAAAACCTTGGTTGTCTCTGGGTTATGAGTGAAATAATGAACGAAAAGGAAATTTAGAGACCAGGCAAGCAACGATTTCCAGTTTCAGTTACTGTGTAAATGGGGCAATCCTATCCCATGCTGCCTGAGACTGTCATTTGCCCCAGGGCCCCCTGCAGAAATACATATTTATTTCATGTGCTTGGTGGCATAAAATCTACATATTTTATGTATAGCATATAGGTTGTGTGCTTTCTTATTAGTCAATGTTCATGTCAAAAAAACACATTTTTGGATGTTTTTATGGTTGTAATGTTGTTACGGTTCTCTCTTTTCCAGCGCGTGCATGTGTGTGTGTGTGTGTGTGTGTGTGTGTGTGTGTGTGTCTCCATCATTCAACATTACTGTTTTAAATACTCTGGACCAGAAATCATAAACAGTAGGGGAGATAGACAAATAGGAAGCAGGTCAAGGTGCATTTTAGAGAAACTGTGCCATATCTCTCAGCCCATCAAGATGGTCAGCAGCCTCCAATAATCACTGCCGGGGCATCCGCTCCTAGTTAAACCGAGATTTCATGTGAATCAAGGGTCCCCAAACCTTCCCTCAGTTATGAAATGAATTTCTGACAAGGGACACAGAATCTAGACCAGCAGTTCACCATCAACCCTCACACAATTTAATAACCTACCACTTAAGCTTCCCATTTCGTCAACGACTCTGTATCTCTCCCCCAGGGCTCATTTTTCAGGCTCCCTTTTAGCCTGAAGGGTGATTTCATTTCACAGGCAACCATGTCCAATTCATCTGGGGTGAGACTCTCCAGTGGAGCCCATTCTCACTAGCAGCATTCCCTTTAAACAAGATGTGCTTCCTCAGAGCCAGTAACACAACATGCAAAGCCTGGAGAGCTGGTGCAGCAGCGTTTGGCTAAACAAAAGGTGGGGAGAAGGGAGGACACTGCCGAGCTGGTCTGAGTTTCGACAAAGTGGGAAATAAGAGGAGTCACAGCCTGAGCATTGCTGTCCGGTGTGCGGCAGAGGTGGTTAAAAGCAAGGTTGTGAACAGCCCACACAACAGACAATTCATGTCAGGGACATTTCTCCGTGACCAGTGCCGGTCATGACAGGTGCAACAGAGTAAACAAAGAGCAGGAGAGGAGGGCTGGGTTTCTACTGGATATTAAAGTTAAATGTAGCACTGGGGAATGTCCTCAAACGCTTTAAAAATGGGACTAGAATGAAAACATTTTGACCCAGCGGCTACTGCTTGACGGTGCTGGGCAGCAGGGTGTTGGGCCATGATTTAGTCTAGAAAGGAGGGTACAGAGCATCAGCATCTGTCCACGGGAGCCAGAGGTGAATATCACAGCACTTTCCCTTTAGAGAAGCTTCCAGGCATCTCCCCTAGCATATGATTCCCTTCCACTTTGTGCGTAATTGTAAAAGTATCAACCCAAATCTAGTCGTCACCAAGAGGGAAGTGTTACGTGAGGAGCTTCAAAGACGCTGAGCTGTGAATCTCAATGAATTAAGAGAGTCGCTCGCAAGCTGTTCATTCAAGTTCAGCGTGTACACTGAACTTAAGGAAAAATGCTAAACATCAGCTATGGTTCGATCACGAATAATTTTCTGCCTTGGAATGAAGCAAGCACAGTATGGGGCTGGAATGGCTATTTACGAGAAAAGCAGGAGACACAGGGTGGAGGTCTGGGAACAGTGGTTGGAAGGATAATCCCTTCTAGAATCTGGCTTAAAATTCATTTCCTTAAAACAATTAATTTATAAAGTGTTGTTTAGGTTTTTTATTATTTTCCTAAAATCTCTTCCTATGTGCTTCTATGGACGGTTGAGTTGCTATGGAGAAAAGAGGATTATTTTGGATCAAATTAGGGACAGAATTCAGAACAGGGGCAAAGGAAGGTGTTTGATGTCAATCGAGTGACTCTGGGTAAGTGTCAGCTCGACGGAGGAACAGCTGTATGTGGAATAGTACATACACACACACACACACACACACACACACGGCTTCTCCCAGGAGGGGTGGGAAGTTTTCTGATCAAGAAAAATGGCCACTTGGTTAGAGAAGACCCGGACACGTCCACGCTCTAGTCAGAGAACAGGGCTGCGGCTGGTGCTATCAAAGAATTTAACTTGCCCACTGGTCCCAACCCTGATAAGGGATGGCTACACTGGGGACAAGGTCCAAGAAGGGCAGGAGTGAGCTTCTGGGACAGAAGGAACCAAGAACCCAAGTCTGCAGGAATCTGTGACCAACCAAGGGCCAAGGTGGTGTTTATGTACCTACCATACAGAAAGGTATTCCAGTTCGAGCTGGACCTTTGCACTAGCTTGCAACATCAGAGAATTACTTTCAAAGAAAATGAAGGTATTTTAGGTGCTTATTATCTACAAGAAAAACTGTATTTCTAGTCTAACTATGGGATGAAAAGCTAGAAAATTGAGTGGCAGCTTCCCCCCACCCCCTGCCCCCGCCCAGCCAAACACTGCGTGAAGAGGAATTGTTTGAAGTGTGTAATGATGGTGGTCTTTACAATACAAATATTTGCCACTGGGATGAAGATGCAGAGAATGAACTGCGAACCAGATTGCATGCACACTGGAGAGTATGTAAATCAAGGAGCTCTGAGTTGAAATCGTAACCTCCTGAGAAGTGTGGAGATATGTGATAAAGCCACAAAGGATTATGGGTTATTTTTGTTCCCGTCGTTTCCTCTCCCTTTTAACACAGAGAAGGAACATACTGAGCGTTGGGCTGTTTTTTAAACACAGAACAGCTGAACTTTATTATGTTTCCTTTTAATTACCGCTTCCTTAACTGGGTTACAAGGAGGGCTTCTGTTGCTGGAAGCTGAAGAGAGTCTCGCTATGTGATATCATAAGTAGGGGTCTCTTTGGAGGTACAAGAAAGTGACTGGCAGATCCTTGCTACAGGGGTCCAGACTTGGGAACAAATTCTTGAGTGCCACATGGTTTTTGTGTATTCATATTATGGTGGGAGGAAAAGGAATGCAGTTAAACAAGAATTGGGTAGATTTGGAAATATGGAAATGAGGGACTATACTCTCAGTGGAAAAAGTGTGCTGAAAAATGATGTCTGCTTACTTGTGGAGAATTCATTTGTTACCGTATTTGTAAGCTGTAAGTATTAGGCTAGGATGTTATCCTCTGTAACCTCAAGTGCCTGTGTAGGTGTCTGAGTGCACTAGGTCTGAAATGGAAACAAATCCTCACTCCCTTTGGAACAGCTAGAGTGTATTTACCTAGGAAAGACCTCTGCTTACACCTGAGGCCCCATTTGTGATCCATGCCAACATTACATGCCTCGTGTGTCTTCCCAGCATTGCTAAGTTTCTTGGCATTGAGAAGCATTGTTCCCTGTCTTTGGCTTGGCCAAAGAGGATGCTTAAGTAAGGAGGTAAGGCAGAGAAAGAAGAGAATTTTGATGGCCAAGGATAAAAAAGCAAGAAATCTTGGAAGTGAGAAACATCTGAATATGAAAGAGAAAATAATAGGTTTTTTTAGAGAAGGGGAAAGATGTTGTCAGCAGATTGAAAAACAAAAAAAAAGATTCTGTTAGATTAGGAAGGATTTTTCAAAAGGGAGATTTGGTGGAAGGTATAACATTATCAATATTGCAAGTAACTGGCACTTGGTGAAAATATTTCACTTTTGTAGTGAAATAAAGAGTTGCTGTTTCAAGATGTTGCTAATTGGATGTGGGGATGGAAATAAAATCTTGTTCTGTTTGGGTATCTGGCCCAGTGAATTCAATCTGGAGGAGAAGCACAACTAGATGTTGTAAGATCTACAGTAAAATCTCTGTCATGGAAGCATTTGGAATTGAGGTCTTCACTAAGAGAACATCTCAGCACCCTGAAACAGAGAGGATCCTATGGGAAGAGGGTAGCATTTAGAAGCACAAAGATGGAGAAATGTGGAAACGGGTGCTATGATTTTGATAATAATTCCTGGACATGTACTGGGGGCAGCCTAAGGGGACTTCCTCCAGGGGCTCTCATTTGTAAACGGCCCCTCTCTTCTTGGCTAGTTCTCATTTTGTCAAAGGTGTGGTGGTTGCTGTGGCTGGGAATACAATGGAAAGTCACTCTGACTCTGGATTGGTCTCAGGAGGCATCAAGGGTTAACGCATTGGCTGCCTGGAGCATCTCCATCAGTCACCGTAATTTATTCCACTCATCCCAGGTGAACACCAACAGAAGCATTGGCAGGAGGAAGGAAGGAGGAGACAAAAAGGCCTTGACCTTGAGGGTTAAGAATGGAGATAGGATCAAAACAAATGAAAATGTACAACAGCATTAATAATGCCAACTTGGAAAGCATGCATGTAAGGTTACACACAGTTTACGAGGCACGCTTACCTACACGCAATCCCACATCCACACACACACACACACACACATGCAAGAATGCTGAATAACTGCACAACTGACATGGATAACTGGGAGCAGATGGCTGGTCAGACTGAGTGCCAGAGAAAGATGTGTTTGGAGAATTTTTGGAATGGGGTACAGGCAAGGGCTTCCTGGCGCAGTGGGGGGTGGTAGTGGCATGTGCCTTGGCTTGGGAGCTTGCACGTAGGGATCATGCACGAGAGAGAAGCAGTGCTTTGGGGCTGTAGAGGTGCTTGCAAACTGGAGTGTCCAGTGGGGAGAGAGATAAACTGGTGGCTGATGAGAGAGGACAACAACTCCTCGCAGGGCTTGGGACAGCACAGCAGGAGCCTTCTTGCTCATTGTATTTCAAATATACTCTTCTTTGGGCTGTTTGCAGGAAATCACTACTGCACATGCCCCTGGAGGCCTGGCATCAGGACACATGTTGTGACTCCAACTAGGGTGGCAGTGAAGGAATGATCAGGGTGACAGTGAAGACCAACAGGTGATACACATATGCCATCCCTTTTCCCCAAGAAAGAAGAAATTGCATAAGATCATAACTTAATGAGCTGAAAATTATTGAGAAGATGCAGAAACAAGAGGCATCTTTCATGGATCAGAAGAGGTCCCATTTCAAATGCATGACATGCAGATGGGGAAGGAGTTTAAAGCTTGGAATGAGGATGGTCATGTACAGGGATAGTGTGATTAATGCCAATTAAGTAAAACAAAGATGTTCTACTGGCATTCCATAACATGAAGTTTGAGAAGAGAAGCCCTTTCTTTTTGGGAGTACAGAGGAGTGTCTACTGAAGTTTGATAGGGGGTCATGGGAAATTCTTTTTCTGTGCCTCATTAAAACAGATGTGGAGTGTTCTAAATGGTTTCCCCAGATCCAGCCATTCCTGGGAAGAGAGTGGGCTCCTGCCCATCCTATGCAGTCAGGGACATGAGGAAGGAAATGATTCCTCCAGACCATCGCTCTGGATTCCCTGCCTCCCACAGAGAACCGTGGGAAGTCAGCTCTAGCTCAATCCGGTGTCCAGTCCGGGGCTGGCACATACCCTCCCCTCTCTCCTCTTGGCAACAGGCCATTTTGTTTCCCCATTCTCACACTTATTTCCTCTCCACTGCCTCTCCCTGCCGGTTTGTAGAGGGCAGTTGTGCTGCTCTGTCCTCTCCTTCTGCAGCCCGGTGTGCTTGCTTTCTTTCAAGGAATTTAAAGGTTGGCTCCCAATGCCTATTCCGCCTGCTTCCATCTGCTTTCTCTATTCAGCTCTCGCAGGAAGCTCTCACTAGCTATATATCCAGGTTCCATTTCCTGCCCTTCCTTTTGTGGATGGCAGCCAGGGGACTCTCCTGGTGGGGCTTTTTGGTTTATGAATGGCCCTAGTCCTGCAAAAGAGAGGGCTTGGGATATATTGTAAGGGGTATATTCTAATTTAATTTTCAATTCAAAAAGGCCCAGTGAAATAAACCAATCTACCAGAAGATAAAAACAAAAAACAACAAAAAGCCCACATACCTCAAAAGCAAAGAAACAAATTTAGAAAATAAATCACAACAACCCCCTGTCCCCAAATCCAAACCCCAGCAAACCTCAAACAAAGGAGTCACTGGATATGAGTAATGCAATAGCTGTTAGAGGCATGTATGAAATCTGTGAGCTGCACTTCAGCCTGTCACAGGCAGTTATGAAAGATGTAATTTAATTTGCTTAAAAAAAAAAACCCGTAAAAGGCAGATTGGATAGCTGTATTTTAGCAAATGTGTTTGCACTAAGGGTACCTTCTGTTGAACAGTTCTGCCCACAAGCTGTCTGTAGAATATAGAACATCTCTCGAGCATGCTTGCCACCTTGAAGCAGGGCAGTCGGGAGCAGAAAAAAAAAAAGAACAGAATGCAGAAAAAAGGTGAAGAAAAAGAGAGAAATGAAGGACAGCAAGTCTAGTACCATCAATACATTTAGAAATGAGATTAGCCAAGTGTGACAATAGAATTTAAATGACACACAGAAGGACATTAAGATTGCAGTAAATAACATACTATGGAAAAACCAGCCAGAGAGCACTTTCTGTTCAGCTTAGCTACAGAGTCGGAACGAAAGCACAGGTCGATTACTCATTTTACTGGCTCTTTTGCATTCCAGAACTATACATCTTTTAATCTTAGTGTTAATCGTTAGTGTGATTTTTTTTTTTTTTTTTTTTTTTCTGCAGCTCCAAACAGTCAATGATTACATTGCCTAATACTGTTCTGGAAGTCTCAAACTTACCAACTATGTCAAACCACAGAGGGGTGTTAGCTGGCTGCACAGACACCACACCCACAATCTCAGTGACTCTATCGCTTTCCATGACTGTGAAGTTATAAAACGGCTCATCGAAGGTCAACGGTATAGGTGAAGCGGGTGGTTTCTTAATCCATTCAATATGGAGGCGGGCCGTGGAGGATTTCTGTGGGCGCCCGTTGTCCACTGCCTTTATCTACTCACACATGGAAAGAACACAGAAAGATGTCTTAGAGCTCGGATCCTTACAGAAATTTGGATCTGTCACTCCTATATTGTTAGGCCAAGAACCCAACCTCACCACAGTGTCAGCAAGGGAAAGAAGAGAGTGGAGATCTGGGGAGAATGGGCTTAGGAACTGGGGTGTAGTAACTTCATCACATGGGGGGGCCCCACACCACATTCACAAGGTGATTTGAACCATCACCAACTTAAAGATGTGGAAAACTTGAAAAACAAATGTGCTTAGAATTTTCAGTGTTTTATAGGCATGAATCATAGTTATATTAGTAGGAATATCTACTTTGATTATTTAAACTTTGGGGATGATGCTTGAAAGGGAATAAAGTGCATTGTGAATCCTTACTTCAGCATAAATATTGTGTGTAAGTGTGTGTGTGTGTGTGTGTGTGTGTGTTAAGTCCAAAAAATAAAAAACACTGACAGAAAATAAAAATATCAAAATTTAAAAATCCACATTAAAGAAAGGATTTAAAAATAGTACATCCTAAAAATGACACTTATAGGTGCATGGCTAATGGTTATAGCCTTTAAAAACAGAGACAACTCGTAGCACCCAAATGCTATATGTTCATGAATTATTACTTTGCCCTAGAAAATTCCTGTGAGATAGAGGACATTTGCAGACACACATCTTAGGTCAGGATTCCTGGAAGCAGAGCCTGAGGCAGGGATTTCAGTACAAATGATTTTGGGGGTGTGGGAAGTATTCTTAGGAGAAAGGGACTGAAGAAAGTGGGATGGACAGGGAAAGATGCCAAATAAGGGTGTGGTCTCAGCTGAGGGCCACCATCAGCCTGATCCCACCGGGAACTCTGAATCATTAACTGTGCCACAGGGTTGGCTCCACCTGGAGGCAAGGGGGTTTGGACTTTTGTATCTGGTGTCAATCTATCATTGGCTAAGGGCTACTGGGCTGGGATTGGGAATGTGGAAATTATTGTGCCAAGAAGCTCAGTCAAGGATGACTCTCTGGAGAAGGGAGCACAGCAGTTGGGGGATAGCTGCACAGTCTGGCAAAGGATATCTGGGTGGGGCAATAACGGTATCATCTGGTCCTCAAAGATTCCCATCAGCAAGTCTCACACAACTGCAACAGCACATATTACACCAGAGCTGCTAATGGTAAAAACAGTGCTACTTTTCTCCTTTCTCCCACTGTTTTGGATATGTTACTGAGCAGGGAAAGGAACCTAAGTCCAGACCAAAGGAGTGAAATGATAAACCAAGGGACTCAGACAATTATTTACAATAGGTAAGGACTGACTGCCTACAGCAGAGAAGGCTGTGGACTAAGAGAAGGATGGCAGATGGCACTAACTCCTGAGTGTTGTTGGGACCCTGGGAAGCACCCATCACTTGTATGGATTACCAGTCCCCTTTCTGGCCTAAAAGCCATCTGTCTAAGGTGATTGGGGGTGTGGAGAGCAGGCTTGCACCTTAGATATGGGGGTTTAAGTCTCCATTTGAGATGGTGCTCATGTTGGCTTTTATTTTATTTATATTATTTCATTACTAAACAATGAAAATGAAAATTTAGTCACTTTTTACTTAAGTTTTTCACTTACAAAATAAGCGTAGCTGTGATTTGTGCCTCAAATTTACAAAACAAAAGTCATGTTCTATCACACTGTCAACAATTACAAGAGTTGTTTTCTTTGGGAAGTCTTGTGGTAATATGTCATGTGGTGATATATTATGTGATGGATAGAATATGTCACCATTGTGTTCCCCTAGTTTCAGTTTATATCTATGCTCAGTACTTTGGAATGATTTAGGGCTGCACAAAGTGTAGTTGAGTATGTGATGGAGCAGGCTGTGTACTGAGAATGGGAGATATTTGCTGATAGGACACAACTGAAGAAAATGGTCTCATTATTTAAGAATATCACTGAAACAGAAAGTAGCTTCCAAAGTTGAGTGGCTGCACTTTTTACTCTAAAGATTTATTGTGCAAAAGAATATATATGAGTAAGAACATAACTCCTTCCCCCCATTAATGTTGTTGAGGTTCAGAAAAATCTTACCGTTAGGATGTCATAACTCCCTGCTGTAAATTGCTTTCTGGAAGAAACCATGCCAGTTTTAGGGTCAATAAAGAACTTTCCATCATCATTGCCATCCACGATACTATAGGAGATTTCTGCATTGGGGCCCTCATCTCTATCAAATGCAAAAGCCCTGTAAATGGGTTCTCCTCTCTTCTTTCGGTCACGTTCTGGCAGCTTGATCTGGTAGACCTTCTCTGGGAACTGTGGCTTATTGTCATTTTCATCCAGAACCTGAACCACCACCCAGATGGTCGACTGTTTTGGAGAGGAACCACCATCTGTTATGGTCACCTGAGTTAAAAAGAGAAAGCATTTTGCAATCAGTAGGGAGAATAATTTTCTCCCCACTCCTCCACTTACCCATCCCACAAGAGGTCTATTCTAGGACTTAGGACATCTCAACTTTCCTTATTCCTGTAGTGCATGACAAATGCATAATTTTTTTATAGTTCATCCATAAAAGCAGGGTAATGCCCTAAATTCAGTACTGGAAACCATTGTTGAAAGGGTACAAATGAGCAGGGCTTTTATGTGGAATAGAGAGGGAGAGAGAAAAGAAATAACTATAAATTGTGCCAGCTTCTATAAACTTAGTGGACCTAAACTATGCTCCCCTTAACAGACACAAAAAACAATACAACCATTATTATGCATTAACATGGGTGCTTCTTCTAATCCTGGGACAATGTGATCATTATCCAAATTCTTTCAGTAATTGTTTCTTTTCTTTCTTTTCCATCTTCATGTAAAATTTGTGACCTTTATCACTGCCCAGAAGGAAAACTGTGATATTTGTTAGGTACATTTGACAGTTAAAATATGTTTTTAGCAGCCACAAAATATTTTTTCCCCTCTCTGGGAAATTCATGGGGGATGGACATCCCTTCCCATATCGATGAGATGCTATTCTTATGCGTGTTTGTGAAAACTGAGAGCAATGAAGAGCATGTGCATATACCGAATTTGCAAGGAAGATACAAGAAGTCTGAGTCTTCTTGTGAATAATCTTCTTGGTCATTGCGATGATGATACTATCATATTACTATTTAACATGTAGATGGTGACACAGTTTATAAAGCCCCCTTCCATGCATTCTCATTCTCTTTCCTAAATAACCTCTTTAGTACATGGAGAAGGTTTATTTATTCCCATTGTATAGATGAGTAAACAGAGGCTCAGAGGTCCCATTGCTAAATCCAGATGTTGAACTTTGGGCAAGTCTCAATGTTCTGTTTAACCACAAAACCTGGAAGAAGCCTATATTTAATCTTTAAGTCATTACCCTGAACAAGAGAGCTTATTGCCTCAAAATATATATTTGGAGGCTGGAAGGATCATAAAGATGTACTCTGCATCGATTGGAAAAAAAACAACAGTGAATTCCAGAAACTGGTCATTTAGTTTTTCACCTAATAAAGCAACCTGACAGAAATAATGGGAAAAAAAGGGCCAAAAATGTGGGAAAACAAATTAAAAGCTTCTTGCAAAATGGAACAAGAATCTACTTTAGTTTCTCTTACAAGCTGCCTAGAAGGATAGTTTTAATAGACTTAAGATAAATTTTCATAGGAGTTCTTGCTTTCTTTGAAAAATCAATCAAGTTTCCTTCTAAAGTTATTTCCCCAATTGGTTTGTTAGGTTTCACAAAAGACACATCATGGCCAACATGCGCCAAGGCTGGATTTTGACTCAAGCTGATTCCCGGACATGCCGATTCTGAAGAGGCACATTCTGCCGCTGCCCATCTAAAACGTTATACTCCCAGGAGGCTTGTGTTGACCAAAACACATTGATTTCTTGGCTGCCGACAGCTCTGCCTCCTTTTTTTGCTTCAAGAGCCTCTTTCCAAATCCAGACAATGTTCACTGTCTTTACTGTGCACGAAATCACGTCCCCATTGCTTGTCAATAAATGCCCTGCAGGGGGACCTCGCGGGGCTCCAAGATGGAGCTCTGGTGCTGCTTCAGGGCCAGGCAGCTGCCAAGGAAAGGAGGGACCCTCCTGGCTGTGGTTTTCCACTCACCCAAGACTACTGCTGCTGTTAAAATACTATCTTGCAGGGTAGTCCTGGATTGACCAACCCAGGTCTTCAAGGCATTTGATTACAGGCAGGGAAGGGTGAGGCAGCTCCTAGGTGTGCCAAGGGGAGGAGGTCACCTATGTCACCATCTCACCTTACACATCCAGCTCTCTTGCTCCCTCAGGCCACACAGGCATTCTTCAGATTCTGCAACAACACTCTTCTACCTCAGGGCATTTGCACATGCCATCCGCCATGCTCTCTCCCTGGAGTGCTCTCTCATCCCTTTTCCTGGATCTCGCCTCCTCATCCTTTAGGTCCAGCTGAAAGGTCATCCCCAGGGATGGCTTTCTGAGCCACAGATCAAGTGCAAGTCCCTCCCTATCCCCTTCCTGAGTTATGTACTCTTAAATTACCCTATACTTTTTTTTCAGTAGCACTTACTGTTGTGGAAGTTCATCAAATATATGATTCTCCACCTAAGGGGTGAAGCTGCGTGAGGGCAAAACCAGACTGCCTGTTTTGTTCATTGCTCTCTTCCCTGTGTCAGGCCACACAGACAGAACACACTCCACAAAGTCTTATTTAATGGATTAGACTCCAATTCAGTTCCTGCTTGGGTAAGCTTTTAGCTGAAGCAGTCTCACATTGTAAAACCTCTATCGATCATTCCAGGCCCTTTGCCACATAGCCCTAAGCTGCCTTTCCTGTATTTTGGCCCATAACTCTTCCATCTCCTTACCCATGGCTTCAACTACCATCTATGTGCTAATAATTCCCCAAGGTGTGCATTTGTGCCCAAGCCTTATTGGCAGACTCCAAAACAACATCTTGAACCACTTTGATCTTCTATGGACCTCACACATGCACCCAACACCCCAAGAGACACAGTCTGAAATCCATACTCTCAAACCTCCTCCCCCTGTTTTCACTGTCTCAGTGAGTGACAGCCACACCTACTCACATACAGTTTGTGCCAGAATCCTGGGCATCCACTAAGAGTCCCCTCTCTGTCCATATCCAACCAAACTTGGAGGTCAGCACGTATCTCTTACGTGCACCTCCTCTGCAACACTGCCCTAGGATGGGCCTCATTTGCACCTTGCTTGGATTGCCACAACAGCCTCCAGGTCTCCCTGCTTCCAGACTTCACCTTTGCTGTAAAGTGTTATTTCTTTCTTAAAAATCCGATCATATCACTGACCTGTATAACACTGTTCAGGGGCTCCTTGAGAATGAGGATCTGGTTGGGCTTGATTATCACCATGTGCTATCTGCTCCTTTCCTGCCCTCTACGCCTTACATCATGTGCTGGGGACATCCTGAGTGCGTCTCGCTCTTCGTTACACCTCCATTCCATTGCAGAGTCATTTGTCTCTATGGAATGCCTTCTCTTGGGAATATACCTGACTCATTCTAGAAGCTTCAATTCAGACACTTCTTCGAAGCCATCCCTGCCTCCTGCAGACTGACGGAGGTGCCCTCACCATGCTCCCACTCCACTGCATCCATGACCCCAGGACATTCATCACCATCCTGTATTTCTAAGTACCTGCTTACCTGTTGGTCTCCACTCAATTGTTCCAGACCATGAGCAACCTAAAGTCAGGGGCTCTCTCTTATGCACCATTATGTTCTGGTACCTGGTACAGCTCTACGTGCCAATAAATGCTGTTGAGTGAAATTAAGAATCAATTGACCCAAAACTCTTCCCTTTGATAATTAGTGGGGAAAATATTCAGATGCTGAAGAGTTCTGCTTCATCATCTGAAAGAAATGAAGAGACTCAGAATATATGGATTTCCTAGGGATTCTTGCTTTAAGATTCTATGAGTTGGGGTCAGATGGAGGTGGATACAATCTCAACCCTGTACTCTGGAGTTCACAGGCACCTTACATCACAGAAAACACTACCAATCTCAGGACCGCTCATTTGATGGCTAGCTGCTTCCAAAACCAGGCTGGCCACTGTGGACACTTACTTACAATCTACCAAAGTGATCTATTCCTTGTTTGGCTCCTTCAGTATACTGTGAGCTACCAGGGGCAGGGACCTTGTTTTTTCATCTTTCCTGGAACCGGAAATACTCTCAATAAATGTTTGCTGAACTGAACTATGTCTTTGCTAACCTCCAAGTCTTCATTACCATTTTTATTTCTCTAGATCCACTCATGTGTCTGGCTGTGTTCATACCTGTACTATTAATCATGAATGATTCCATCAGACTCTTAGACTTCATATTTCATGTTGCCCTAGGCCTCAACGCACCAGCTGGGATTAGTCTATATGAAAGGAGTAGCTGTACAGGAGATTGAAGCAAAACTAATTGAGATAAATCCCCATTATCTCCTCCTCTGCATCGTTTTTCACTAACCATGCAAGGAATTAGCTATTGTTTAGATACTTTCCATACGGCCTCTTGTTCTGCCACAATCCAACAAAAGAAAACTGAGCCTTCCTAACCTAGATTTTCTGCTGTCATCATTGATCAATAATCAGTGGTTCAGCCATTAATCAGAGACTGAAAGATCAATTTCTTCAGGTGCTTATAGCTAGTAACTAACAAAAGGACCCACAATTAGTTCAGTACCACTGAAGGGACAGTACAGTCCACTTCATCTTCGTATGGTGCCCTTGGGGTCTGTGACTACCAGGCAGAACCAGAGGTGACCGACGTGACTCAGTAGATTATGATGACAAAATTACCAAGAGGAACAGGTTTATAAATCTATTCTTGGAAGATGCGAGAGCTTTAGAGAACCAAAACTGGATGGACATTGAGGATTCTGGAGTTATGGTAGCGGGTGGAAGGCCACACTTCTTACTCACTGAAATTGCCTGATGCATTTACATTGTTGTCTCTCTTCCTGCAATAGTTTGCATGTAAGCAACCTGAATGCTGAGACATTGTGTCTATCCACTGCCTTGTCTCCAATGATTCTAAGAGTATCTGAGAATATATTCAATATTTATAAAGTGGAGAGCTCAGTTGTAGCATCCTCCTCAACCATTAACTCATCATCAATGGCTATTTCCAGGGCATTACACTTAGAATTGTAAACCCCTCTTCAGGGATTCCACATCTCCCTTCCCTATTTCATATTTACTCTTGACACTCATCATCATTACATTTATCAATTTTTAACTTTTATGCTTGTTTATTGCATATCTGCTGCTATTTGAATATAAGCCCCATAAATGTAGATTTTTGTCTATTTTGTTCACAGATGTATTTCTAGCATTTACAACAGTGTATGTAGTAAACATTGA